TAGCCCTTTGTTGTCTTTGTACAGGTATAAAAAAATTGTGGGTGCTTCACACAAACTGTGCAGGAATACAATAGAAATATTAAGACAGAACAAATAAATAACAAACAGGAGGAATATATACGACATAAGAGAGGGGCACACATTCAAAACACATTTAGATTTTCTTGTTGGGAAATTAGAAATTAATCAATGTTTTGATGTTTTACTTGTATGTGTTTGCCTAAAAGAGATAAAAAGATATCAGGAATCAAGTCAGTATTTATAAAACACCATCCCTGTGTAATAAGTTAAAAAAAAAATTATATGATGATTAAAAGAGGTTGTATCTGGAGGTCTATGCATTTCATTTATATCTGTGTTTTCTGGTATTTTCCATCATCCAGTCATCAGGACGCCGCTCCCGTACCACCTCGGAGTCTTCTACTCACTCTGGTGGAAGAGAGCGGAGCAACTCAACTGTGGTGCAAGCCTCTCCACCTCCACCCTCAATCCCCGAGCAGCCCATTAAAGAAGAGGCCAAGAAAGTCAAGAAGGACTCTCCAAAAAAGGTTCAGTTTTACATACTGGCTCTCAGGTTTTCAGTGTGCACTGTGGTCACTGTGCTAAGTAGAATACTTATTATCTTTACACACACAGAAAGGGGTTGGCTGGCTGGGTTGGATCATTGGGAAAGGAAAGAATGAAGCTCACTTGCCAGATGACAAAAATAAGTCTGTAAGTTATAGCTTTTACACTTTCACCTTTTTTTTTTTTCTTGTTTACATTACCTGTTCTACAAATTTCATACACTTGTTTGTACATGCGGCCAATATGAGAGTGCTGTGATCTTTGTCAGATTGTGTGGGATGAAAAGAAGCAGAGATGGGTCGACTTGAACGAGCCTGAGGAGGAGGTCTGTAAAATTGAAAATGTGTTCTCCAGGCTGGACCTGTAGTGTGCAGAAAGCCTGAAATTCTTACAAATGGAACACTTCTAATAGTTTTTCTTCTAAACTTTTAGAGCAAGCCACCTCCGCCACCACCCTCTGTCTTCCCCAAGATGCCTCAAGTTCCTGGTCCTGGAGGGCCTGCTGCACCGCCGAGTAGTATTCCTCCTGTCAACATGTTTTCCAGGAAGGCAGGTGAGATGAGGATTACTCAGAGTGGCTTTTGGCTAAACAAACCTCATCCTTCGCCTTGCATAATGCATCTAAAAGTAGAAGCATGTCTTCTCTTATAGGGCGCTTTTAACTCAGATGTGTTTGTTCCCTCTCAGGCACAAAGAGTAGATACGTGGATGTTTTGAACCCCAGCAGAGCTGCTAAACCTGGCGGTCCAGCTCCTGCTCCAGCGGACATCTTTGCTCCTTTGGCACCAATGCCTATTCCTACTAACCTGTTTGTGCCTAGCTCAGGTGTGTGTCATGTGCAAGATGGCATAATAACTTGTATTCACCAGCAGCATTTGGTGGCTGTAGAGGATTTTCTGCTTTTAAAGATTGAAGTAATTCCATGTTTATTTGTATCCCTGGATTAGCTCCCGATGATCAACAACCTCTGGAAGGCAGTGAAGGAGGCAATCAGGAGCAGAACTCACCAAACACCAGTGCTGGTCCACAGGTATCTCTACTCTTTACTAGTAATCCTCATCATTCTTTATAATCATGAACTTTACTCCTGTTCTTCATTTTTAAAAGATAAGTGAAAAAATGCATTAAAAAGACAAAACATAAGCAGCATACTGAGAAAGAATGTAAGGCAGTCATCAATAAGTACAAAGCAACAGCTCTACTTATCCAAACTTCTTCTGTTGCGCTTTTTAAAAATCTGTCTAGATGTTCACCCCAATGTTGTTACCACCTGCCCCAGAAGGTCCTACAGTGCCTGATGGCTCCCATTCTGGAGAGGTAAGCCTAAGCCTCCTGTCATAATGCAACTGAAACATGATGCTCGACTGCCAGTGGCCAGTGTGCGCACTTTGCTCTTTGTAATATTAATGTAGGAGCGAAAGAACATGATATTATATGCATGTAGAATTAAAATCTTTCCTCATATTCATGCGAAACGCCTTGATAAATAATACTCTGTTCCATGTGCTGGTCTAATATAATTCTTTCCATGTCTGTTTTTCTATGAACCATGGTTTTATGCTGATTTATTCATTTTCATTCTGAAAACTAATCCAGTGCATGCCAGGTTATTAAAATGGGTTTGTTTGTTTTTTAATTTTCCTCCTGCTGTCTGTAGCTGTCACGTTCTAGTTCAATGAGTTCTTTATCACGCGAAGTGAGTCAGCATTTAAACCAGGTACCTCTAGCTGGGCTTTAAGTTAACTCACCCCTGCCTGCCACCCTTGTAGCTCACTCCACATCACTAGTAGCATGCTTCACTGCACCCACCCAAAGCTTCTTTGCCTATTAAACCCTGCCTGTTGTCTTCACCATTACTAACTCAACATAACACAAATGGACAATAAAATCGGAGTATAGTTATATAATTGTCGCCAAAAAAGTGTTCACACTTCTGTGGAGTAGAAAAGATGAGAATTCTATTAACTTTGGTTATATATTGTTTTTATTGAATGGATTGACTGCAGCACTCCCAGTCCCATACCTCTAGTTCTCAAAAGATTGTCATCTGTCTAACCTAGTCCTGTTAGCAAGTTAAAAGTATTGAGATTTAGAATGAATTGCCTTGACATCAATTGGAGTGCCATAAAATTACACGTAAATACAGATTCATGCTATCATGTTGTCTGATGTTTTCAGGCATCATTTAATTTGTTATTTGGTTTAAGATTTAGTGCGTGCAAAATTATGTCATCTGATCTAAAAAGGGAAGTCAATATGAAAGTGTC